AATCAGGCTGGAAGGCCAAGAGGGGCCTAGATTTTGCCTGGCGGAACTGCCAGGATAAAGTGTTGGACATCCTCGGACCAATCGCGAGGATGTTTGATATGGTTGAAATCGCGTTGGCAGGGGGTGCACCGCTGGACCTGGAAGCCCTCAGAGGGTGGATCCAGCGTGCCGTGTGTCTCCTGGGCAACGCTAATACGGCAGTGGCCACGGAAAGACGCAAAGCGATCTTAATCAAAATTGAGCCTAAGCTGGTAAACCTAGCTATCTCAGAGCCGGGTCCCCAGGCTAAAGCCCTCCTATTCGGGGATAACTTCGTAAAAGAGCTAGGCACATATGTAGGCACCTTTACGGCACTGGATAAGGCTCAAGCCAGCATGAAGCGAGTGTTCCATCAGAAGGTTTTTGGCGGGGCCGGCAGATATCGGGGCCGTCTGCCCGGCCGCTCGCTCCGGGGCTCATACCGGGGCTCTCGTGGCTCCGCACAATCCAGATTCACACCCCCGGAACCCAAACAAGCCTCACCGTTCTTTCCAGTCCGAGGCAGACCATGGCAGACCCGAGGACCCAGAGGCTCTTCATATGGCCGACGTCCTTATGGTAAGTGCACTACCTCCTCATATGTCTGCATTAACTATGGTGGGGGGCAGACTGGGCCATTTTGTCAAAGCATGGCACATGATCACGGCGGATGCCTGGGTGCTCCACACTGTACGGGGTTACTCTATAGAGTTTGTGCAATACCCTGTCCAACTGAAGCCCCCCAGCCGAATGGTGGTCCCCATGCGGGACCGAGAGTTGATAACCCAAGAGGTCCAGGCCTTAGCCTCCAAGGGGGCGATTTATACAATTCCCCCTGTCACACCAGGTTTCCTGAGCAACCTATTCTTAGTACCCAAAAAAGGCGGAGGTGTTCGCCCAGTCATCAACTTGAGGCCTTTAAACATGTTTGTCGCATACCACCACTTCAAGATGGAAGGTATACACTCTCCCCGGGACCTCCTCCTCACGGGGGACTGGATGGTCAAACTCGACTTGAAGGACGCATACCTCACGGTCCCAATGGCCGACGACTGCCAACGCTTCCTGCAATTCCGCTGGGAAGAGACCATGTGGCGTTTCAAGTGCCTACCGTTCGGTCTCTCATCGGCCCCCTGGTGCTTCACAAAGCTCATGAAACCAGTGGTCGCCCTCCTACGCAGCAGAGGAGTACGGCTCATAATATACCTGGACGATATCCTCATCATGGCGCAAGACCCGCTTCTGTTGCACGAACATTTCTCTTGGACGAGGAATTTGTTAGAAAACCTGGGTTTTCTGATCAACTGGGAGAAGTCGGTCATCGAACCCTCGCAGGCAATAGAATTCCTGGGATTCACCATAGACACAGTGACCGGAATGCTCCTACTCCCAACAACCAAGGTCAAGGCCATCAAAAAGGAGCTCAAGCGGACGCTAACACGGCCTGTCCTTACCTTGAGACAGCTGGCCAGGATTGTGGGCCTCCTCTCGGCGTCCATTCAGGCCATCTTTCCCGGACCCCTACACTACAGGGCACTTCAACGATTAAAGGCAAAATACCTTCGTTTGGGGCACTCATACTCAGATTCTGTTCCTCTCGACTGTGCCGCCAAAGACGAAATCAAATGGTGGCTACAACACATGGAAGCGTGGAATGGCCGCGCGATCTTTGGAACAGCTCCGGACCTCATAGTGGAATCCGATGCAAGCTTGCTCGGTTGGGGTGCGCGCTGCGGACCTTTCTCCACTGGAGGAAGATGGTCTCGGGAGGAACAGGGACTTCATATCAATTGCCTCGAACTGTTGGCAGGTTCGTTCGCTTTACGGAGTCTTTTGAACGTGTCGACCAACTGTTCCATCCTGTTACGCATGGACAACGTTTCAGCGGTCCGTTATATCAACCACCTCGGGGGCACGAGGTCAGCAATACTTGCGGAATTAGCAAAGGATTTCTGGCAGTTCTGCCTGGATCGAAACATATCGGTGCAAGCGGAACACATCCCGGGGATGAGCAATGTAGTAGCAGACTGGAACTCCAGACATCTACGAGATGCCAGCGACTGGCGACTGAACCCGGCCACCTTCAGCCAATTGCAATCACTGTGGGGACCACTGGACATCAACCTGTTCGCGTCACGACTAAACACGCAATTACCGAGGTTTTTCAGTTGGAGGCCAGATCCAGAGGCTCTAGCGACGGACGCTTTCCGACAACAGTGGCCGAATGCCAGACATTACGCTTTTCCCCCCTTTTCCCTCATCGCACGGACCTTGCTGCACCTCAGACGACACCGCACGTCTCTAATCCTCGTGTCTCCGTTTTGGACGTCTCAACCCTGGTTCCCTACACTCCTGGAACTGTCAATAGATCTGCCGAGGTTACTACCAGTACACGACAACATTCTCCTGGATCCCTATGGCAATCCACATCCTCTCATACTGCAGGGACACCTCAAGCTTTTGGCATGGCTCCTCTCAGGGGACTCGGTGACATCCCAAATGTTCCACAAACAACTCTGGACCTCCTGGCAGGAGCTTGGGCCCCAGGTACAAGGAAATCGTATTTACATGCCTGGAACACATGGCATGGTTGGTGCGTGGAACAACATGTGGATCCCATATCTGCAACTGTGAGTCAAGTCTTGGGTTTCCTCACTTCACTTTTCGACCACGGCCTGGCGTATCGTACAATTAATCTATATAGGTCAGCTATCTCAGCAGGCCACGTAGGTTGGAATGGAATTCAAACTGGAAAACATCCGATGATATGTCGGCTCTTACGGGGCATAAAATTTGCACGACCACCACGGCCTAGGTATTCGGAGGTATGGGATGTGAACCTTGTTCTCCGACTTTTTGAAAGTTGGCCAAGGAACGAAGATTTGTCGATCAAGCAACTCACCGCAAAATTGGTTACGTTGTTCTGTCTCATCTCATGTAAACGGGTTTCAGACGTACGAGCATTGGACATTCAGGCACGCTCATATACACCAGAAGGGGTGGCCTTTGATATATCGAGACGTACAAAAACATCCATCACAAAGGTTTTTTACCCTGCATTTCCACATAACAGTAAATTATGCCCAGTAGCCTGCCTCAAGGAGTATGAAGCAAGGACGGTGGCGGTCCGAGATCCGCAATGTGCGGACCTCTTCCTGGCTATTCGACAACCGCATCGTCCGGTTTCTACAGTCACCATCTCTCGTTGGGTCAAATGGATCATGACGTCGGCAGGCATTGATATTTCCACATACGGAGCACATTCAGTGAGGGGTGCGATGGCATCCAAAGCCTTTTCATTAGGCTGTAAATTGGAAGATCTCCTCCGAGCAGCCGATTGGTCGAGAGAATCTACTTTCCGGGAATTTTATTTCCGTCCGGTTTCCCATTTTTCCACGTCAGTGATCACACAGCTTTGAACTAGCATAATAAGAGCCTCCGTGTCCTTTAATAAAATTACCAGATTTTACTAATTTCATGACGTAAAGTCATGATTTTATAAAGGACACGGAGGCGAGTATTATCCCACCCAATAAAGGTAAGTTGCCCTCCTCTGGGAATGTAAGGTATGTTATGGGACTTGAACTGTGTGATAATGTGTTATTTTAGTTTATTTTTTCGTTTGAGTGAATAACATGAGAATGATTTAGTGTTCTAGATAGATTTGGAATATGAACATGGAAAATATTATCCAAGAACACATTTTACCATCTCGTTTCTCTGTCTTACAGCTTCCTAATTGGAGTGCCATAATGGTCCAGGCATACCCGCAGGTGGGCGGATGGAGGATGACCAGTTTTTTCTTCAAGTTTTGTTGGTTTTTTGTCCGACGTCATCTTCTACGGGATTCCCTGTTTTTCTCTACACGACTACTGGTTCTTTTCATGGCGGAATATTGGAGTGTCCATCAACAACACCAAAAGAAAGAGGAGTGGCTTAGGGTCACATGGGACTTTATTGTAATAGGGACACTCTGATTGGTTCATATGTGGTATATGGTTAACCCTTGCAAAGTTATGATGTAATGTTATTGAAGTGTTTTCTTTTTGCATTGAATATATATACACAATATTTTCTTTTGCTGCTGAGGAATAAAAGGAAAGAGTAAAGCATAATACTCGCCTCCGTGTCCTTTATAAAATCATGACTTTACGTCATGAAATTAGTAAAATCTGGTAATTGTCATAGTTACTGCAGAGGTAGTCTGGAATAAAAATTTGTATGGGCTAAACTTTCTCTGTCATTGTTGCTGGTTATACTTCATGCTGCAAACTATTAATATTAATTCTGCATATTTGCTTCTCACATTTGGAAGGCACAATGTTGTCCTTATATATTCATGTTATGATTGCCCTTTGTAACTTTGTCACAGTAAAATGTATCATATTCAGAATTTACTGCATATGGAGATTAAATCCAAATGCAGTAGAGGGTTACCGTTTCCAAAAGTTGCTTCTTTTTACGGGCACAAAAATAAATAGGAACCATTTAACTATTTTCTGTCTGCATCACAATGCTTTACTGTAAAATCCCTTGGGTATAATTAATAGTATGGGTATACACTGGGGCCTTTTAAATAACGAGTTATCTTAAAAATGGAACAACATGAAATGTTTTGTTGTGATAAATAATTAAGAGGACTTTCTCCTGTCCAGATGCGTTTCGGGAAACACATGGTATGCTTCTAGTTTGCTGAGCAGATAACATATTGCTTATGTTATGACCATCTGGGTACTTTGCATTTGATACAGTTCTCTGCTAATGGCCATCAGCCACAAAAGCCCATACTGGAAGCGGAGGGACACTTTTAGATGTAGAAGCATACAGTTTACATTTTTTATTTACAGAAATTCCAATTTGTGTGTAACTGGGTATATTTAAATGTTAATTATTTCCAAAACAATTGTCATAAGACATCCACACAATTCCTATTCTAGGATTGATTACTTCTTTGTCACACTAACACTTTACAGAGAACAAGTCATATTAGATTTACTTTGTGTGTGGAAAGCATACACATGTTAATGAGAAAGGGACTGAGGTGAAAACACAAGAATCCCACCTCAACACTTTACTCGCATGTATACAGGTCAGAGAAGCACAAAATACATATCTTTTTGCACTTAACCAAACTCAGACGAGAGCTGGCCTCCCTCGAATTTGAAACATCACCTCTTCTTTTTCCCAGTCTCCCCTTTTTAATTTTTGTTTTTATTAACAGCAACAGATGTGGGAAGTTACAGGCAGGCAACAGAAATAGGGTCAGCTATCACTAAGCTATATTCCCTCCCACAGCCTCAAACTGACAGCGCCAGACAAATACGCTTGCCAAAAATCGACGATTACCCAACTGTGAATTCCCTGAATTCTTTACCTCCATATGCGACGAAACTACTGGACTACAGGAAGAGTTTGGCTGGGCATTAAAAGTTTCCAAAAAAGTCTTGGTCCAGCTTAATTGCCAGTTATGTATTACAAAACTTTGTGGTAATTTTGAGCCACAATTCCTTTGTGGGAAAACATGATACCAATAAGCTATGGAGGTCGCTGGAGAAGACTGAGGTGGGAATACCGTTATCAGCACTATCTTGGCTCCCACAGACTGTAGGCAGGAAGTTGGGTAACCCATAAGTAAGAGACAGTAGTGTATGTAATGCTGCAAAATTCTGCCTGACAACATTCCCCTCCCTGTCAATGCCCTTGAAGCATGACGACTTTGCACTGGAACTTGAGCCCAGGTGTGCTAAATAATAAACCACACTGTCCCCCACATTATAGCAATTGAGGGGGATAAGATCACATTTCATTTATGCATATTCGCTATAAACAACTGAAACTATAGTCAGTTCCACAACAATCCCTTCTGATCATGGATCCAACAGATCTTATAGCTCATGGCATATCCCACTTGTGACGGACCACCTGGCACCTCGACCGGATACCTCCACCAATCGCGGCTTCCTAATAATCCTTGAGTATCATAAGCACTGCACCGGACACCATAACCACCGTAAACCCCACAGCTTGGTTGGAGTCTTGTGTCCTCCACCCACTCTGGACCCGAGACCAGGATCCAGCTTCCAGTGGGTAGACCTCTTTTAATCCACTTATAAGAGCAGGATAGCTCTTATAAGAGCTACTGATTATACTCCTAGGGAGTATAGCAATCCCCAGAGTGTGAATATAGCTCCCAAACACGAGCCTAGACTTCATGAAGGAGTAAGACGTACTGTTTAATGGCGGCCACAACTGGCCTTATATGCAAGTCCCCATTCAAGTGGTTTCCAGTTACATTTTCCAGGGGCATTACCCACTGGACCTGGGAGTAGACTACAGCAAACACACACGATTACATTGGCTCTCAGGTCCAAGACACTCCCACATAAAACAAGACAACCGGGAGTTTCAGTGTCCGAAACTAGTTCCATGAACTCAATGACCAAACAACGCTGCCTGTGTTGGTGCAAGCAAGATGGCCGCCAGACTCCAACACCTCCGGCCATACTTTACTGGCCCAGCAGTCATAGCCATACCCATCATTTAACAATTCGATACTAATGAACAGATGATTTATTAGCACTGCACAAGCCAAATTTATTCCAGCAGCCAAGTTGAAACAAAATTTATAGATCAAATATGAATAATTTAATGAACCACTGTTCAGTTAATTTTTCCCATAGCTATTATTCCTCAACCTTTTAGGACCAATGAAAGATTAAACTGAATCTGGAACATTTCTTCAGTTTGTTTCATTTAAAAAAAAAAAGGCACAAGCCCACAACAAAATACACAAACTTTATTGCTTTTATTAGTAGATAACTGTTTATATTATTCAACTACCAGATGGTGCATCTGTACCAATGACAAAAAAATAAAAAAAAAATTACAAAATAGTGGTTTGGACACTTTTTAAGAGGCCAAAATTTCAGATGTGGAGTGTATCTGTTTGTACAGCAGTCCTTGTCAGTGTATGCATGGTATAACATCTCTAAGGGTGGGTGTTTGCAAAGCATTATTGCGGAGTGTTAATGTGTGGGTCTGTGTAGTGCCTGGGTACACCAGCATAGATGACAATGACAGAAAGAGGCCCAAGTCAGTGGTTTTGTTAGAGGCCAAATGTTTCCAATTAGGGGGAGGGGTGGATTTTTAGTCCTGATTATTGCACAGCTCTTGAACAAAATCATTCATAATCAACTCATGTAGCTTGTCCAAAGAAAATCTCCCATCCTTCATTCAAACCTGAACAGGGGGGAAAAATATAAAAAGACGTGATCAGTAAACATGATCTGTAATAACGATTGTACAGTGACTGCAAAATAAGCAAGCTGTGTTTATTTACACACAAACACCAAATTGGACAAAAACTCACGGAACAAGTGATGACACTGAATTTTACAATTCAATATTTTTTATTTTTTTTAAATGCATTATTATGATTATGCACAACCCTCCCCAATGTGAACATACAAATTATAGACTTCATAATGTAGAAGATCACCGAGCAAGTGTCAACATAATTTGACACTATCAGGATTCATGATTTCTAACTTAAAGGACCACTCTAGGCACCCAGACCACTTCAGCTTAATGAAGTGGTCTGGGTGCCAGGTCCAGCTAGGGTTAACCCATTTTTTCATAAACATAGCAGTTTCAGAGAAACTGCTATGTTTTATGAATGGGTTAAGCCTTCCCCTATTTCCTCTAGCGGCTGTCTCATTGACAGCCGCTAGAGGCGCTTGCGTGCTTCTCACTGTGATTTTCACAGTGAGAGCACGCCAGCGTCCATAGGAAAGCATTGTAAATGCTTTCCTATGCGACCGGCTGAATGAGCGCGCAGCTCTTGCCGCGCGTGCGCATTCAGCCGGCGGGGAGGATCGGAGGAGGAGAGAAGGAGGAGAGCTCTCCGCTTCAGCTGAAAAAGGTAAGTTTAAACCCCTTTTGCCCTTCCAGCCGGGCGG